TTTTGGGGGGGGGGGGGGGGGGGGTTGCCACCTTTTCCGGGCGCTGCCGCCGTTTCCACCCCGGGCCTTTTTCGGAAATTTTTGGCTAAAGCTTTCGACCGTTGCTGCCGTTGGGGGGCTGTTGCCACACCGGTGCCACTGCCGCCAGGCGGTTGGACCGTTGCACCGTTGCACCGGTGCCCCGGTGCACCGGGGCACCGTTGCACCGCTGCCCCCGGGGGGTCACCTGGGTGCCTCCTGTCCCCGCTGCCTTTTTGAGAGGAGCCCCGCTGCCGCTGGCCGCATCCTGGGAGCCTCCGGTCACCCCTCCCCCCCCCCCCCCCCCCCCCGCCGCAGGGTGAGCGGCTGTGGAAGCACAAGGACGGCCGCAAGGGCCCCCGCCCCAACCACATGGGCGAGGTGCACTGAGGTGGCGGAGGAGGAGGGAAAACAGGCAGAGGACTGAGGAGAGGGTGCGAGCGAGGGAGAGGGAGAGGGAGGGAGAGCTGAGAGGGAGAAGGGGGGGGGTCTAAGATCAGGTCTCGCGCACGTGGCAGAACTTTCATTTTCGGCCCCGCGGGCCTCACACCCCCCACACGCCACACAGCGCCCCGCCGCAAGGCCCACAACGCACAAGGGCGCACTCAAGTGAGCTGTGACGGGCGCGGGGCCCGGGGCGGCCGCGGAGAAGGCGCCGATATTTTTGTAAAATTTTTCGTGTTTAGCTTTGTCGTTCACGAGAAATTTCCTTACGGTGCCCGTTCGTGCCGCGTCCTTTCGAGTTCATCTTTTACAGAAAGACAGAGGAGTTGTGTTGAAAGCATGAAAACAAAGAAATCGGCTGTGTTGTCACGCTCATGTTTCACGAGTCGCGCGGCCGCTCCAAACATTTACGCAAGATTTCGAGGCAAATATCATGGTGCAGCCGCGCATCGCCGCGACGGCAATAAAAACGCCGTTCGACTCACACGGCCCCGGCGTCGCATCGCGGGCGTACGCGAGACTGCTGGAGCTGATTGATGTCTCCTACCGCCCAGGATCTCCAGGCGCGCTGTCTGCATTTGCACTGCGCTTGTGAGAGTCTCTCAGCGGCGCCCACTGCGCCTTTTCACATAAAAGCACAACGCGTTTTCACCGCACAGGTGCCGTGTCGTGCGCCAACCTGGTCCGTGTTGGGGCGGCGGGCGACGGCGGCAAGGTTTGCGGCCTCTCCGCACCCACTCTCTCGCTCTCTCCGCGCCCACTCTCCCCAAGACGCTCTCTCCGCCTCAACGATGCTGGTCTCACGCTCTCTCCGCCTCAACTGGCAAAAGGTGATTTGCGACCCTCCGACGCTGCTACGGCAGGGGCAAGGGAAGGACGAGGAATGCATTGTCGTCTCCGTCGGCAGCAACGGTGACGCAAGCTTCGAACGGCATGTTCATCTTCTTGCTCCCCACTGCCGGGTGGACACCCATGATGGCACCCTCGACCTCGCCGCAAAGGCGAAAGTGCCGGCGTATGTGCGGCTTGTGGAGGAGAATTTCCGTGCCGACAGCTGGCGGGCTTACGTCAACACTTCGGCAAACCTGTTGCTGAATGGTCAGGCGGGCTGCTCCGCACCGGAACGTGCAACCACCCCACCTAGCTGAGAACAGGTGCGGCTGCTCAAGATGGACTGCGAGTCGTGCGAGTTTGAGGCAAGCCTTGCCGTCGATGGAGACTCTGTGCTCATCATCTTACACATCCCTGCTGTGAAACAGGCACTCCTGCCGTGGGTGGAGAACGTGTGCACTGATCAGATCGTCGTGGAGTGTGGAAGGCCCTCTGAATCGAGAGCCACGCGCGTGATGCTGGTGCACTCGCTCGACTCGTTACCCGACGAGGCGTCAAACAGTCGCAAGAGCGAGGTGAAGCTGGCCAGGGTGACACGACCCCCGGCGAGCCGGCTCCGACGGAGGTACCACTGCGCGAGAGGGTAGCTCCGCAACGTTGGCAGCGGCGACGGACCTCCCTGCAGCTGGTCCCAGATCAGCTGCGGCCCTCCACCTCCGTGCTGGCAGGTGGAAGATGTCACAGAGTAGGGTGCTCCTCGGGGTGTCGCTGCGTCCAGCATCACGAAACTGGCAGGGCCTTGCGCGATCTCTCGGAGCTGCCGCACGCCCACGGCCGCGTGAGCTGCTCCCGGCCAGTGCAGGCGAGCATCTCCCTGGAGAAACACCATGTGCGGCGGAAGGTTGTGCCAGTGCTTTGTCAGGTAGTGCAGGTAGCTGCCTGCCTCACGCCCGCACCGTGGCACTCTGATCACGCGCGCCCTCCGACTCCGAACACGTTCGCGCAAGCTGCTTTTGAAGATGCACTGCTCCAAAACCACTGCCTCCAGCCTTCGCTCGAGCTGCAGCATCGCGGACAGCCAGTCAAGCCGAGAGCCGCAGGATGCGACCACGAGAGTGATGTTGGGTGCTGAAGACACTTGCGCTCCTCGTGAAGGTGGGTCTGGCTGGTCCACGTACCGTCGCTTCAGGCGGTCCCATGGCATCGCTTGAAGGTCGACCGCAAGAGCCGGCCGGGAGCAAGCAGGTCAAGAGGGACGCGCGAGTTTGCATCGCGAATTTCTTCTTTGTTGTTCAGCCAGACAGAACCTCACAGCAAACGATGCAGACCGTCACGTTTTTCTCTTACTGCGCCTGGGTTCGGGCTCCTTGCCGTCAATAGGGGCTCTGCAGTTCCCGCTCCAGGGCGGGTGGATAGGTAGGTAGTAAGGGCGTGTTTTTCTCCCGGACCACGGCGTGCGGCCTAGATTCAGCACACGCCTTTCTGCTCGCGAACACGCATCCAAGGAACTATCGTCAACCAGTGTCATTGTACACGCGTAATGAATGGTGGGCGTGCCCACCCCGGAGTGGTTCGACCCCACGCAAACCCGAGACGGTGACGGGATGCTGGCTCAGTGATCTCAGGCCCAGTGAGGTAGTGCACGAGACTATCCCGGATCCTGCTGAACAAGTTCCTCTTGTAGCTCGATCGGTCACACCGCCATCGCCGTCGGGGAGAGGGAGGGGGGACGACACTGCTTCTGCAGCCGTGCACCTCGATCCTGCACCGTGTTTGTTATGACCCCCCCCCAATGAACACACCAGTGAGGGAGGGCGAGACGATCGGAGGGGTCCCGTACCATGCGGAATCGACCCTATCAAGTGCTCAAGTGCTCAAGCTGTATAAGCTCACATCGCGTCAGTCATCAACGTCAAATCTCATCACTTACGTCAGGGTGCTGTCCGATGTCACGGCGTGAAGCCGTGCCGGTCGTGACCGACGGGCGGGCGCTCATGAGCAGCACGCCCGTCGTGCTCACGATTTCTGTCATCTCCTTTGAGACGGTGAGCGTGAAGGTGTCCTTCACCGCTGCTGATCCGTGGCCGCCATTGGATGGCGACTCGCTTCTTGAGTTGCTCGGGCACATGAGCCAAGGCACGCTTCAGGCCGTCGGTGCTGTTTCTAAGGAGCTTCGGCGTCTGGCTTACGATCCAGCCGTGCCTGGCCAGCCGTGGAGCTCCATCGACATGGCAAAATGGCCATTTTTTGGGGAGGAGAAGAAGCGTCGTGACGCTGTTGCAGCTGCTGGCGCTATGGAGGACGGCATTGAAAAGATGATGGCCTGTTGCTTCTTCTCTGCCGTTCCAGGCGATAGGCCTGACGCGAGCGACTCTGACGTCCGAGTAGCAGTTCGGCTTGCGGGGCCGCTGCTTAAGACCATCACCTGTTCTCCGGCCAAGTTGACCGACGGTGTCTTCGCGAGCATTGGGGCAGCCGCGCCTAATCTGACCGCCCTCGATCTGTCGAGTCCGAAGGGCTTCGAGTAGCAGAGTCCTATCTGACGAACGAGGGCATGGCGCGTATCGGCGCGACGCTTCCTCGCCTCAGCCGCCTCAGCCTGTCGCATCGCATGGGAGAAGTCACAGATGAAGGAGCCTTGCTCCTGCTGCAGGCCCTGGGAGCAGGTCTCAAGCAGCTGCGCGTGCCTCTGCCTATGTGCACCGAGCTCACACTGAGGTATGTCGGCCAGTTCTGCTCCCAGCTCACGCACCTTGACATTGACGGTCTTGGAAGCCGCATCGGAAGGCGCACAGGCAACGAGGTGTCCGCGCTTGGACCTGCAGCCGAGCCCGAGCTCCATCGGATCTTTGATGCAACTGGCCACACTCTAGAGCACATAAACTTTGGATGGGGCTGTGTTGTCGACGTGTTGAACTCGACCCTGATCAAGATGATGTCAACCATGCCACGGCATCGGCTCAAGTCGTTCCGTGGGGTGCGGCTGTCCCTGGGAGCTTTCAGTGTCGATCGTCTCGAGCTGCTCTTGCCCCAAGACTCTCCTGTGCTCGCATACGCCACGAGCAGGGATATCAATAACGTGGTCTTGATGACCGATCTCACGCCGCCTGTTTGGGAGCTTTTCACATGGTACTTCCACTCCGCTGAATCACTTACAGTTGACGATGTTGGCGCGGAGCAAATTGGTGTCCTCAACAACTTTGAGCTGAGGCGGAATCACTGCAGCCCATTCTTGCGGGAGTTGCGGCGCACGTTTTCAAACACAATGACGCTTTTGGCCCTTGGCGGCCGCTTTGCCTCGACGTAGGCGGCTGAATGTGCTCGGCGGCTGCACTATCGGTGTGAATTTGGATCCGATAGCGTCGATTTTCTGCATATCAGCAAAGAGCCTGTCTGCTATAGCCGCAGCCACTCCCAGCTGCTCGGTGTGAACAGGGCAAAGAGCTCTAACCACGGCGCGGCACGCTCCAATACGTCGCGCGCGCGCTCTCTCTCATGGAGCGCTCCTCCAGTCGCCTGTTCTGGCCAAGCAAAGCGGACGAGTACACTCTCCTCGCGCCCATCTGCGGCTCGGCGGGCAGCGCGGCGGCCTCCGCCTCTGCCGGTGGGCCATCGCCGGCGCCGAGCACCGTGTGGATGGCGCGGACGGCGGACGGGCGCGAGGCCGCCGTCCGGCTGGTCGACCTCGAGAAGCAGAGCTCGCGCGACTTTGGGCGCGTGACGAGCGAGGTGCAGCGGATGACGTCGCTGCGCCACGCCAACCTGTGCGAGCTCCACGCGGCGTTCGTGAGCCGCGGCGAGCTGTGGCTCGTGCTGCAGCTGCACGAGGCGGGCTCCTGCGCCGACATCCTACGGCTGAGCGCTCCGTCGGGCCTCGGCGAGAGGGCGGCGCTGGCGGTGGTGCGCGAGGCGTGCCGCGCGTTGAGCTACCTCCACTCCCTCGACCTCATCCACCGCGGGCTCAAGGCCGCAGCACTGCTCGTCGACGCGGCCGCGCGCGTGCGCCTCTCCGACTTTGGCCTCGCCGGCGCTCTGGTCGAGTTCGGCGAGCGGCGGCGCAAGCGCGAGACCTTTGTCGGCGCCGGGCAGGTCTACTGGCTGTCGCCCGAGATGCTCGAGCAGACGGCGGGGCACGACGCGGGGGTGGACGTGTGGGCGCTGGGCATCACCGCGATCGAGCTCTGCAGCGGCGAGCCGCCCCACGCGGGCGAGCCGCCCATGAAGGTGATGCTGCGTGTGCTTCAAGGAGAGCCGCCGCAGCTGGCGCGCGCGTCGGGGCCGGTCGCGGCGCTGCTCAGCGCGTGCCTCTGCAAGCGGACCGCCGACCGCAGCTCGGCCAACGAGCTGCTCGAGCTGCCCGCGCTGAGCGAGCTGCCGGAGCGGGCCTGCGAGGACCTCCTCCCCCTCGTCCACGCCCTGCCGCCCCTCACGGAGCGAGGCCCTGCAGCCAGCTCGGCTGCTGCAGCCAGCTCGGCTGCTACCCCCGCCACGGAGCAGCCTCCCTGCACGGCCGCGCACCCCGCCCAGCCGCCAACTCCTCGGCCGGGGAGCGCGGGCTCGCGGTCGGACGGCGCCTCGTCGGGCTACTCCTCCGCGAGGGGCTCGCGCGCCTCCTCCCGCCGCGGCGGCGGGCGGTGGTGCGACGAGTTGTTGCGGCGCACTCTCTGCCGCGGGGTGTGAACGGCGCCTCTTCACAGCTCTGGCTGTGAACAGGTGGGACGAGTGGGACTTTGACGAGTCGGTCGGCGAGCGGTCTCGGGCGGGAGGGGCCGCGCCGGCCGCGGGAGCAGCCTGCTGCGGCTCGTCGGGGTCGCGCCACGGCTCGCCGCTCTCTCCCCCGCGTCTCAGCCCTTCCACGTCGGACAGCGCCGTCGGGACGGCGGGACTTGTGCCTGCGACGGGGTCCACGGACGAGGTTGCGTCGGCGGCGTCGGAGCGGCAGCGACGCGCGGGCGGCCGCAAGCGAGGCTTCGTGGTCAAGGCGAAGGAGGGGCTCGCCGGCGCCGCCGTCGCGAGCGCAGAGCTGTTTGCGCTGCAGCAGCAGGTGATCGCGCTGCTGCGTGAGGTGAGCGGGCGAGGTGACCCGTGGGCTGCGGGCGGGGCGGCGGAGGGGGAGGAGGCATCGCTCGGCGGATGGCTGTCGGACTCTTCTCCCGGAGGCCGCGACCCGAAAGCCACGCTGCTCACGACGCTCCCGTCCGCGGTCGAGCGGCTGCAGCGGCAAAACGAGCTGCTTCGCGAGCACAACAAGCTGCTCCGAGAGGTGCGTCAGTTGGGCCCCGCGGCCGCGAGCCCGCCCGCCGAGCCGAGCCACGCGGCGTGCGGCGGCGGTTGCGGCCAGGACAGGGGCGTCGGCAACGGGGCCGATTGCGGCCTCGCTCCGGGCGTGGCGCCGTCCGTGTGTCGAGGCGACGGCGCGCCGAGCGTGCTCTCTTCGGTGCGCTCGAGCGAGGCGGATCTTCAGCGACCGGCGGTCTGCGCGCGCTGCGGCAACAAGTTCAAGGCCGACTCGGAGTTTTGCCGCAAGTGCGGACTAAAGAGACCGTCTTCTGGCGCAACCGCTGGACATGCCGCCGGATGCGGATCTGCTCCTGGTTCTATCAGTGCCGATCCTGGCCATTGCAGTAGTTGAGTTGATCCCGAATGGTGATGCTTTATATGAAACTGGTACACTTGACTACCGCCCCACCTGCGGGAGCGCCGGCACGGGCAAGGCGCAGCGCCTTGATTCGTGTCCCCGCCTTCGGCCACCGCCACCGTGCGGGCCGGTGGTGCCTGGCGGCGCGCACGGGATGGGCCGCGTGCTCCCCACCCCCCTCGATGGACTGTAGTGTGCTGGCCCGGGCCCATTACCGATCGGCTCGCGGCTCGCAGCAAGGTGCGCTGCCCGCGACACCCTGAACCTCTCTGCTGCAGGCAATATGCGAAGCCGACGGTTGGACCCCGGATCGGGAACGACAGCCTCGCGTCGCCGTCCTTTTGCCTGGCTCAGCTCGGGCGTCGCTGGCGGCGACGTCCAGACGGCAGGAGACTCGCGCGGTGCGTACGTATCGAAGTTTCGCGCACCAACACTGTGGGAGAGCAGATTGTACTGTGGCGAATACGCTCCTGGGCCAGGAGTCCCGTTGGGCGACGCCGCCTCGTTCACAGGCACCGTCGGCATCGTCGGCACGCGCCTCCACTCAAACCCAGTCGGAGTCGGGGGCACCTAAAACGATGCGGGAAGTGCGGCAGAACCCAGTCGGCGTGGGCAGGTTTTGGGCGTCTGCAGAGGGTAGTTTCTGGACACCCGAGGTCGCAGCGTCGATGCAAGCGTGCTCGGCGGCATAAAGCTCGCCGGCCCGGGGCCGTCCGTCGCACGCTCCGTGAGGGAGCTGAGCGACGGGCTGCGAAATGCCTGCCATGGCAACAAGCGCAGTGGATTGCGTGTCGTGTGGTGAGGCTCCGACGCGTTCGTACACACACCGCGGTGCCGCCAGGCACGTTTCCCACCAGGGACGGGATGTCGTACGCACCTGGCCCGACCGTTCGCCACGCCCACGGGCCGAGGGGGCCACTGCGGCGGGTGTTGGAGAGGAAGGCCGCGGAGCCCATACACACACACGCCTGTGGCGAAGTAACAGAAACTCGTGGGTCGTCCGTCCACTGCGGGAAGGAGCAAAAACTCGACATCGACATCTTGCCGATCACGGCGCCACGGGCCTCCCCGAGCCATCCTACGCAGACATGCTCCCTCGCACCCTCATCCTGCCGATTGCAGCGGCCCTCCGGGTGGCCTTCATCGCACCGCCTGCCTCCCATTACGTTCCGATGCTCCCGATCGCTCATGAGCTGCTCGACCAAGGCCACGAGGTGACTTTTCTCGGACTCGCCGACACCGTGGCCAAGATCGCCAAACTCGTGCCACAGGCCCACACTCGGGCGCTAGAAGCATCGGTGCCTGCGGATGGCGAACCCAAGAAGCGAGGCATGGGCATGATCCAGGAGCTCCCGTACTCGGTCGCGCAGCTCTTCACCAACTTGGTCATCCCGCTGCTCGGCAACCTCATCGCCGGCCAGATGCTACTGCCAGCCAGGCGAGTTCTACTCGAGCTCAAGCCGGACGTGCTCTGCGTCTCCTTCATCTACCCGTCGCTCTACGCGCTCGGCGAGGCGCTCGGCATCCCCGTTGTCGGCGTCGGCTGGGCTACACCATCCTTTTTGACGGTGCAGAATGAGCTTCCGTGGAGCCTCGAGCCCAACTGCGGCTCCATTCACTCACGCGAAGAGGTGTACGGCAGCCTCCCTACCCTGCTGGCCAACTTTGGCGTCCGGCTCTTCTCCTTCTTCACGCTTCGCCTCGGCTCCGTCGTCAACTCGATCCACCGGTTCCGTATCGGCCACCCGCGGCCGCTCGAGCCGTGGGAGTTTGACTGCGTGCTGCAGCACCCGCTACTCCTGCAGACCCTGCCCGAGCTCACGGCTGGCAGCCCAAGCTTGCTCGGGCCGTACACCTTCATGGTCGGGATCCTCGATCACCCCGGCCTGGGAGGCAACTCGATCGCAAAGTCGGACGACGCGGCGCGGATCATCGAGTGGCTCGACGCGCGTCTCGCCGCAGGGCAGCGCGTGCTCTACGTCGCCTTCGGCTCCGAGATCTCTCCCTCCGAGCCGATGATGCGGCTGCTTGCGGGCGCCTTTGAGGAGGCAAGCGAGATGCACGTGCTGTGGGCGACCAAGGCGAGGCCCACCCTACCGCTGCCGTCGCGGGTGCTCGTGACGAGCTTCGCGCCGCAGCGCGCAGTGCTGACGCACGGCGCGGTCTTTGGCTTCCTCTCGCACGGCGGCGCCAACAGCGTCAACGAGGCGCTGATGCTCGGCAAGCCGATGGCCATCATGCCTTTCTTTGGCGACCAGATGGCGGTCGCGAGGGCGCAGCAGGAGCTCGGCGTCGGCGTCCTCGTCCGCAAAAATGCGCCGTCAAGCGAGCTCGTCGAGGCGGTGCGGCGTATCGCGGGCGAACCCTTTGCGGCGCGCTCGAGGCAGGTCATGGAACTGAATCAGAGGCGGAGCGACATGCGACGCGCCGTCGAGGTGATCGTCAACCACGGCAGCGGCGCGTTTACGCTGCACATCCCGCCGCCGCCCGCGATTTGGATGCGGCTTGTGCCGCTTCTTCTCACCCTCCTGCTCGCCCTCGCGTGCTGCGACCTCTTTGGCTGCGTGCGCGCACGCCCGCAGGTGCGTTCGTGTTGATGTGGGGAGGAGCTTCTCTCTTCTCACCCGCGCTCATTGGATGTGGTCCTTGGATGCCGTGGGCCTCGCTGTCCTGCCTTTTGTGGGGGCTGGCTTCGTCGATGGCAGGTTTACCTTCACCTCTACCTCCTCTTAGGCGCCCTGCTGCTGCCGCCGTCGCCATGCCCGGCGAGGGGCGGGGAGGGGGCAGGGGAAGACCAAGGGGAAGGCGGACTGAAGTGTGAAGACGGCGGCCGCGCGCTCCGTGGGTGTGGCAGTCGGGGTAGAGTTGCGCGTAAACTACTCTCTACCCATCCATTGTGTAGTGTGAAGACTGTGACACAGCGACCAACAATATGGTGTTGGGTTGCAGAAACAAAGGTGCCCCCTAACGGCAAGGAGAGCACACACACACACGGAGGCTTCACGTCTCCATGCCGCCGTCAAGTCGGAGCCAGTCTGCGGCGATCACAGCGCTCGCAGGAGGTACCCGGGTACATAGCGAGCTTTTCAGAGTCAAGCGATTGCGCGAAATCCCACACTGGTGGATTTTGGGCATTGGGCGCCAAATTGGGGCGCTGTCTACCCCCTACCGACTACGCCAGCGCGCAGGCTCTCGCCACAGCACAGAGGAGGGCGATGGGAACGGCGTTCCCAAGACGCCACTGAGGAGTCGCACGCGAGATGCATAATATGACGCGAGATGGATGGGTGCGGTGTGGTACCTGGAGAGCCGCGGCGCGGTCTCTCCGCGCGGCACATAGCGAGAGCACAGTCCACACGTTCTGTGCGGCACGAGACTGGCTCGTGGCCGGCGCTGCAAGTTTATGCAGAATGAAAACCTAATCACTAGGAGTGCTTCTCTTCTCGGGGGGCACAGCTCAGGATCGGGAAGTGCGGCACCCAGATGGAACGTACGAAGGTGGTACTCTGGTTCAGACTTGACAAGTGTGTCGCCTCTCTCGCGCCCTCAACGAGCCTGGACGGTCCCGCCCTGAACTGGTCCGTCCTCAACTGGCCCCATCGGCGTTCTCCTCGTCGGAGATGGACCACCTTATCCCACCCGTTGCTCGCTTGCTCATGACCCGTGCCCAGCGTTGTGCCCGCAGAACGCGGAGACGCAGTGATGTGCACGAGCAGCGGAAGTTGGCTCAGACCGGCGACTAGCGATGATGGCGGCGCAGCTGTATGGCGTTAACCGATTCTGCAGCGGTTAGCTGTGCCGTTGACTGACTATCCATCGCTGGCGTCTATCCGCTCGTGCCAGATTGGCAGCTCACCCTCCAGCCACGGAACGAGAGCTGTTAGAGCGAACCGCAACGGCTCGTAAAAGACAGCAGTGACGAATGTTAAGGCGAGTGCAAAGCGCATATCTCCGCTGTCGCCAACTCGGAGCAGAGCACAGCTTGAGCACGACAGAACCACCAGGGACGGCAGCAGAAGAAAGAAAAATGTTGCCCGCCGCCACCACCACCCGGAGCGCTGCAAGCAGCACCGGGCAATGACGGCTTACCGCCCACCCAGCCCCCCCTCGGGACGCACACCCCAGCAGCCAATGTGTGACTGCTCGAACGCTAAGCCATCCCGCGTCCTGTGCCCTGGGACACCAACGCGGAACAATCTCTCTCTCTCCAACGCGGTATGGGTGGTTCTGTGTGTCGCTCCAATGGCGTGTGGCAGCTTCCGAAGAACGCTCAAGACACTCAGCCAACGTGGCTGCCACACATCCTGAGCGTTCTTCGGAGCTGTTTTTTTTGAGCTTAGCCTTCGATGTCAGGAGCGAAATTGTTTTTTTCCAGTCTTCTCCGCTCGCTTTTTCCAGTCGCCTCCGCGCCTGGTGCCAAAGGCACCTCGCAGCTGCCCCAGGCTGCGCTCAGTCCCACATATCCATGGACCAGCTCGCGAACTACGACTCGGATAGCGGCAGCTCGGACCCCGGCGACTCTGCCCCGGCGTCCAAGCGGCCGCGTGCGGCGCCGCCTCCTCCGCCGCTGCATCGCCTGCCGTCGCCGCCAATCGAGTTGCCGCCGCCGCCGCTCGACTCCCCTCAGGCGGACGAGGCTCCGCGCCCGGTGCGCCAGTTTCCGCACGTCGACGGGCAGTACGCGACGCACGTCTTCTTGCCCCTCCGCCCCGGGACCGCCCTGCAGGGGGAGATTGACGCCGCGGTGGCACGGCTGGGCTGCGGGGCGCAAGGCGACGCGGGGTGTCGGCCGGGCGTACAGAGGCTGGCCGCGTCCGAGTACCACGTCTCGCTCTCCCGCACGCTCACATTGCGGCGACCGCAGCTTGACGCCTTTGCCGAAGCGCTCAGATTCGCGCTCAAGAGGCGAGCACCGCTCTATGACGCAACACACGGCACACGCACACACACACGCACACGCACGCACACGCGCACGCACGCACACGCACACGCACACGCACACACACACGCACACGCACACTCACACACACTCACACACACACACACACACACACACACACACGCACACACACGCACACACACCTCACACACACACCTCACACACACACCTCACACACACGCAGGTGCGCCGCCCCCACCCTGCAGAGCGGTTCGCTCTGCGAGCTCGCAAACGACAGCCGCACGCGCTTCTTCGCCGCCGTCGAGGCGCGCGAGATCACGCCGAGATCGCGCCGAGATCGCGCCGAGATCGCCCCGAGATCGCCCCGAGATTAGCCTCTCCGCCGTCTCCCCCGCAGCTCCTCTCAGATCTTTGATGTGACATGTACAATAAGGTGCGCGACTCCGCCGGCGGCGGCGGCGGCGGCGGTGCTGGGTCGGCCGCTGTGGCAGGCGGCGGGGCGGCGGGCGCGTCGGGTCGCATTGTTTCGGCCTCCGGTCCGTCGTCTCTGTCTCTGCTCACCGCCTTGCATGTGGTATAGGTGCGCGGGAGGACGCGCCGGTCGGAGGCAGGTTCACGGCTGGCCTAGAGGTCTGCCCGAGCTTGCGCGAGAGTAGGCGCGCTGGTCGATGCGGTCGACCGAGTCGTCACGGCGTACGGCGGAGAAGCTTTCTACGCGGAGCGGCGGCGCCGAGATGTAGCCGAGAGACAGCCGGGAGACAGCCGAGAGACAGCCGGGAGACAGCCGAGAGACAGCCGGGAGACAGCCGAGACACAGCCGAGAGACAGCCGGGAGACAGCCGAGACACAGCCGAGACACAGCCGGGAGACAGCCGAGACACAGCCGAGACACAGCCGGGAGACAGGCCCGTTTCCCTCCTCGCGGCCTCCCTCTCCTCTCGCAAATTGCGCGGGAGGGTTGTGACCCGGCGGCGACCCGGCACGCACAGCCTCCACCTCTCGGTCGCGTGCTCAATCTCGGGGAATCTCGGGGGATCTCGGGGGATCTCGGGGAATCTCGCACAGGCTCCACTTCTCGGTCGCGTGGGCGCTCTCTCCTCTCGGGCTCTGCAAGGGGCCGAGGGCGGGCGGCGGCGGCGGCGGCGGCGGCAGGAGCGGCGGGAGCGGCGGCGGCGGCGGCGGCGGTGGAAGCAGGAGCGAGTTCGGTGCTTGTGGAGTCGGGGCGGGTGGCTCGGGCGAGCTGCGGGCGGCTCGGCTGGCGGGGCACGCCCTGCGCTCCCGCGAGGTGGTGTGCCGGATGGGGGAGCGAGAGCTAACGTTTCAGCTACCGCGCTGAGAGTAGAGGCTCAGGCGGGGGCGTTCCGTTTTCATCTCCGGGTGTCTCTGTATGTAGCAACTGATGTGCGAACGCACCGCCACCGCGGCAAGACGTAATCCCACCAGGCTAAAAAAATGTGTGTCGGCTGTCGCGCTGCCGCGCCGGCCGCGGGTGGAGGTTAGGTAGTAGGTAGAGGAAGGTGGGGAAGAACAGTCAGCCCGGACTGGACACCAGCGCGGTAGGGGTGGACGCGAGAGAACCACACCGAACCGCACATGCTTAGGACCGAACCTGCAACGGCGCCGCCTGGACTCATATGTCCCCCCGAAAGCGCGCCCGCACCGCCGGCGAGGGCGAGATTTACGGCGAGATCGCGGATGGCTTCGAGGCGCCCATCTTTGGCGCCCGCGTCGTCGGACAGGTCACCACGCTGGCGCTCGAGGGCGAGGACGGCCCTCTGGCATCGCAAAAGCTGTTTGCCGTCGCAAGCGATCGCGCGGGCGGCTGGTACGTCACGACTCCTGCCTCGGCGCTGCACGTGTCGGCGGCCGGGCGCATCCGCACCGTCGCGACCTGCGAGGGTTGCTGCGGTATCGCCCTCAGCCCCGACGGTAGCGCGCTGTTTTTGGCGGACTTCGGCGGCCACAAGATCCTGCGGGTGGAGGTGGCGACGGGCGCTGTGACTACGCTCGCGGGCAGCGGCGGAAACGGCGACGCGGATGGCGTGGGCGACGCGGCGCAGTTCAGTCGCCCAGTTGGCATCGCCATCATCCCCGACGGCGGCGCCCTATTCGTGGCAGAGTTCTGGAACCACAAGATCCGGCGGGTGGAGGTGGCGACGGGCGCGGTGAGCACGCTCGCCGGCAGCGGCGCCAAGGGCAGCGCGGATGGCATGGGCGACGCGGCGCAGTTCAACGGCCCACACGGCGTCACCATCAGCCCCGACGGCAGCGCGCTGTTTGTGGCGGACTTCGGCAGCCACAAGATCCGGCGCGTGGAGGTGGCGACGGGCGCGGTGACGACTGTCGCAGGCAGGGGGTTCGCTGCTGGCAGCGTTGATGGCGTGGGCGGCGCGGCGCAGTTCAACGGCCCA